ATCGTAGTAAATCTACTTGGTCTTTCCATCACAGTAGGGGCCTGCCTCTTCCTCTGCTACCACCAGCGGATACCGAGTTGAATACTTTCAGGGCTGGAGCGTCGTTGTCCATTCGAACGACATGGTCAAGCCAGCGTAGTCGCAGTTTCTTAATTCGCTGTACTTTGTGCATGTCCTTGTAAAGCTCATACAGCTCAGCACTCCATTGTCTGCGGTACCCGCCGCCGCCAATGCATGAAGGCCCGCAAATCTTCCGCAAAATCTTTCTTTCGAATAATCCAAGAGCCGCCTCATCGGATGTTATCATTGCCAATGCCTCAAACAAACAATTCTGCTGTTATGGAAAACGTGGAATCTATCTATCTTATATATCTACATACTTATTTCTCAAAGGTATTTTTGTGTAACCACACGATGGCTCCATTAATAGTTTATCAAATTCAATGATTGAGACGTCTCGTGCGGAAAACAGTCGTGTTGTACAAATTTTTTTATTAACCGACTTCCTAAAAAGGAGGAGGTTATCAGTTCGTCGGAATCTTTTTTTTTTTTTTTTATGTATGTTCCCGAAAAACTTTGGTTCACGTCAACCGATTTCGATAATTCTTCTCTTCTTTTTGCATCGGAAAGGCAGTGTCTCAGAGGTGGTCCCATACTAATCTGGTTAAGATCCGATCAGTGGATCATGAGATATATATATATATATATATTTTATGAGAGTTGAAGTCGGTTTTTTTTTTTGCTAAAAATTACTTGTTTCTAAAAAACATGAAAAGAAAAATCCATATCTTCCACAATAAATAATACATCGAATTTAATGAGAGCAACACCATTGTTAAGTCCAGATTTACCGCTCTGTGCTTGTAGGTAGAAATATGAACTTTTGAATAGGGTTGCCACATGTCTAAAATTTTAGTGAGTTAGGTATATATTTGATGGAAAATTTTACGACGCTTTTAACGAATGAAAATATAATGTAAAGCAAAGTTTCTTATGACCAATTGAACTGACTTTTCTTTTTGTTTATCTCTGAAGAATTGCAAGAACTTCTTCACGGACACGACGCTTCAGTTAGGTTATTTAAGACGGCAATGGAAGATATGCCTTCCGATGTCCAAAACACCATAACCAGAGCTGATAAATGTGCCAAGGGAAGTCGCGAACCTAGATTGTTTTTGAAATGTTGAACCAAAATGTTTAAACAAAAATTTATTTTGGGCGAAACGAAGTTCGCCGGGTCTCATTAATCTAAATTTTCCGATAAAAATACTCGCAAAATTAGTTATTTTTGAATAACTACGCATTATGAAAATTTCTCGTTTACCATTTTGCAACGTTGCAGACGGCAAGCGATTATAAACTGGCCATGCGCCAATAATTTCACTTGCGCTCCCCACTAGGGCTGATTTGCCATGATTACTAGACAACTAGCAACATGTACATGAACATGTCTGTATATTGCACACCGTCTTCAAAAGAGTCACAACTCAAAATAATACGTTCGTCAGAAAATGATGAATAATGATATGGTGGGCAAGAGCAACTTTACCTTAGGTTTTTTTTAAACAAATTATAACAAAAATTTGCGCCAGCTTTTGCTGAAAGCTAAATAAAAGCTCTGTGCACATTTTTAGCACATAATTTCAAAAATGCCAAATTTTGACTTGTGACTCTTTTGAAGACGGTGTGCGATATGTAACTATATGCACATGCATGTACTTCACCCATTGCATTTCTGTATCTTATTTTCCTTCTGAAAGTTTGCCGTTTGCGTGTCAATTACGAAATTACCAACGGAAACTTTTTAATTAAGCATTCAAACGGCTATCAGCTGCCATCATAGCCGGTGGCTATAGCAACCTGTTGCTCGCTGCCATTACGCCGTGGGTGTGCATTAGATGTGTATTTATTTTCTATTTGCTTACCTCATTATATACATAGGTATCCTGCGGGGAAATCTGGATATGCTTTCACCGTAGGTATTGACCATAAACACATGCATTTGATACGGTTCTATTCATGAAATCACGTGTTGAATTCCACACTGACCACCACATAGGGTGTCGATTGTTCTTATGTCGGCTAGGAAATATATATCTTTACACTCAGTTAGTCTAGACTTAATTTACGTAACTTAACCTAATATATTGGCCAGCGCAATATATTTTTGCTTAGAAATTTTTTGATGTAGCTTATAGACGGCAATTAGCTGAAAAGGAAAATACAAAAAAAAATTTTTTCGCTTCTGGTTCAATTGACGTGTTGAGTACTCATTGACGATTTCTTACGTAAGCTTAGTCTAGACTAACTGAACCTTAAGAAAAAAGTAACATGATTTTACCAAACAAAATCTTTTTGGTTTTTCCATGCTAGCGATTTAAAAGTTTTGAACAGAAAGAGTATTTTTTAAACAAGCATAAACATAAATTTGTTTGTTGTGTTGACCACCGATTTTTCGTGGTTTATCATCAGGCTCAGAGCTGAATTCTTCGCTATTAATTAACTGGATCTATTCAACACGTAGGTCCTATAAGAAGGAACCAAAGTTTGTATTAAATTTCCAAATGAACGAAAGTCCTCTATGTCGCTACATGAGAGATGTACTCCACACGCAAAATTAAAGAAAGGGAAGTTCGAATATATGGACAATATAGAATGAAAAATACATCTAGCACGGTCGTTTGAATATATGAATGCACATAGTAGATATCTATGAGCGAAGAATAAATTAAAAAAAAATGTGATGATACTTGCCATTAAAAATCATCACTTCAAAGTACATTCTTTTGGGTGCTACATCGTGGCCATTCTATTGAAATCCACATCCTGCATTGTCTGGCTGGGTAAGTAACTATATGAAAGTGGCCAGTAGCCAACAAAGCGCTACTGCAGGTACATTGACTTTAACGATAAACTAATACTTAAATGGTGTGCCAGCGCTTTTATGGGTTGTTCTTAAGCGTTAAAACAAAGAAGAAAAAATATCAACAAAAAAAAAAGTAACACGCTTTCATCGCTTTCGTTCGTATCGCTTAATGACTGTTTGAACAACTATTTACTCTCTTATAGAATAGAAATATTGACACACGAACATATGTACATATGTATGTACATACATTAGACATATGTATTTTTAACCTTTTTTTTAATTAACAGGGCGATTCTGGCAGCTGTCTTTCAACTCACCACAGTCGTTCGAAAGAAAAAAGTCTTTCGTAGGACAATTGTCTATTCTTTCAACTATCTTAAAAACTTTTTAGTGTCTTTCCAACGACTAATTGAAAGATATGATGTTCGCCTTTTAGAAATAGGTTAAAAAAATTCAATAAAAACAAAAACAATTAAAAAATAAAGGAAAACTAAATTAGAAAAAGAAAAAATTTGATCAAAAAAGAAGAAAATAGTGCTTGAAAATTAAATAAGATTAAAATCATTTTTATTAAAAACTAACAATTAAAATTAAAAGATTTAGTAAGACTTTCAAAATGAAATGAAATACATTTTTTAACAATAAAATATTAAAAAAAAATTAAGAAAAGAATACCAAATTAAATTAAAAAATAAATAAATCAAATAAATTTCCAAAAAGTAAATGAAATTAAAAAAAAATATATTTTTCTTTTTTAAACGGTAAAATTAAAAATTAAGGGAAAATTTAACTAAAAATATAAAAAAAGAAATAATTTAAATAGAAAAAAATTAAAATAAGTTTCCGAAAATGTGAGGATTAAATTAAAAAAGAAAAACAATGTAGTTTAAAAAAAGAGGGAAAAAAATCCGTTGCACCAGGACTCGAACTAGGATGTGTCGATTGACACGCCTGTGCTTTGACCACTTCGCCACTGCGAGGTTCATATATATACAAGTGCTTTCTCTCACAATAGCATTTTACCAATAGTGGTGAATAAAAAAGCTTTTTTTCCAAGACTTTTCTGCAAGAATAACAAAAGTCTTTCGAACTACTTATCTTGCCATTTATCTTTCATTTTTTTACTTTTTACTAGCTTAGCCAGAATTGCCCTTTTGTTGATTTTTCTTATTCCTCATTCTCTACTCATAGTTATATTTAAATTTAGAAAAGATACATGCCTAATGCGCATATGTATGCATATATACGAAAAACAATTCTAATAACTAGTGAAGACAAAAATATGCAAATGCATACTAGGACACAAAATACATATTTTGCCGAAAAAGCATAAGAATTATTATTTTCGTTAGTTAATTTTCGCATAATTTCATATAGCAATACCAATAGCGCAGACAGCCTGGGTTGCTGGCGAAGTTTGTTTAATTGACAAAAAGAGGAAACTGACAAACAACGAAAAGTACCGTTATTTTCTGGTTAAAAATCGTAATATATTTACTCGTAAAAATATTTCGACTATTATTTTCCAATGGTGAAGTTTGGCGCTAAACCAGTTTTGGTTGTTGAAAAATTCAATGAAAATTTTCCGAAAGAAGTTTTTACCGAAAACTGTTCATCAGTTTCCAGGTGTGTTGCGAACTTATCAGCGAGTTTCAATCTGCATCTATTGTAACTGCTCAATAACAGCAACAAAAATATTTTGCGGGAAACAATATTTTCACCTGGAGAATTGTCATCTTTTAAATATTGTCCAAGAACATCTTGAGACGTAGAGCGTTCATTATCAATACATATAAGTATATACAACAACTTTTTACGCGATAATCGAAAAAATTTTCGTTGAAAAATATATGTGCATTGTATAGATTTTTGGGGCATATATCAATCATATTTTTTCATATTTTGGATCCATTTTAATGATCATATAATTATATTTTTTGTGCATATTTTCGTCTTCCCTACTAATAACAATAAACTTAAGTTTACTGATAAGGAAATACTTAATAGGGGAGCAGTGTTGACACTCACTAATTACTGTGGCAATTTGACTACTAAAATTATTATCAAAGTAAATGTTTATGCGTCTACAAAGCTACTTATAGAATTCATTTTAAATGTTTCTAAATTCTATTATTGTTTTTTTTTTTTTACAGCTACATCAGCCAGGTGACTGTGTGAGACAAATAGCATCGTGAGATAGAGTAAACGCTACATACTTCAAAATGTACCCATTCGTAAGTTGCTTGACCTAGTTACGATTTTTTTTTTCTGAATTTGCATTGTGCATTTAAAATGTTTAATACTTATAACTTTTGTACATACATACATATTTACTAACATGAATGTTTGCATCGAATGTTTTGTAATACGCATGGGTAACAAAAAAAATACAAATTTTCAAAATTTTTCCGAAATATTGAAAAGCTTATTTAAAATTAAAAGTGGACTTAATTCGCTGTACATATCTTTGTAAATATTTTAAATACGAAAACTAAAAATTTGGCGAGCTATCACACACACAAACCCTCACTTTGGTGCAAACATTTGTTTTTTCGAAATTAAATGGAAACCGTATATGGAACGGTTGGTTTGAGAATGTGTTTATAATACATTGGTTTTATGTCGTGTTGAAATGGTGTGGATGGGTAAGTGGCATTAGGTTATCCCCGCCCCACAGTGGGAAATATCGGAAAAAAATTAGTATACTTTTTTCATATTTCTTTAAATATCTTTAATTTCATGATTTTGATGTGGTAATTTAATGTTTTTTATCAGACATTTTCTAAGTCGAGTGAGAACTCATCAGCCTCACTTAAAAAAAAAATAAAAAAATAAAAAATAAAATAAAATAAAAAAATTCTTTCTATTCGAAGATAAAAAAATCGAAAATCAGACAGCTACATAAATTGTTTGAATATATCACCAACCCCAGTTATTAAATTTTCAATGGTCTTAACCATGGGCGTAGCCAGGTAGGGGCAGGGGGGTGCTCGAGCCCCCCTAAATTTCAAATTTTCCTTGTATATATATAAAATAGTACCCTGAAATGCCAGCTTAATAGGGTCGAGCCCCCCCTAAATTTCATTCTGGCTACGCCGATGGTTTTAACGGTTATTCTAGCCCCGCGACTAGAATTTTTTCCGATATTTCCTACTGTCCGCCCCTTTTAACTCCTAACGAAATGGTTGGTAGAAGTCATTGTAAAACATTTTATTTTCGATAAAATAGAGCCGCATGCGATCAACCAATTTTCAAAGACATATTCTAAAAGCATTTATTCACGTGAATTCCTCCAAATGTATTTGCAAATGGTGCAGTAAACGATCAAAAATTACAAGAGCACCTCACACGATGAGTCAACTTCATTTATTTTAAGCGTAAAAATCAACAATGAATGAGACTGCCGCAATGACTCACTCACCCACACACACGCTTCGCTTTCATGTGTTTGGCGGGTCAACAAACGGGATCACCTTATTTTGCACTCTCCCTCCCGTTACGCACTCACACAATTACACATTTCTGGTTTATGGCTAACATCCTTTGCCACTGTCCTGCAACACCATTTATGATGCTGTTAAAATTCAATGTACATACATATAAATATATTTTCACTTGTTCGTTACTTTTGTGGATTCAACTGTGAAACAATTGCAAAAAAGCAAATTTAATAAAAAAAAAACGCAAATTAACAAATGCAAAAAAAGCACACCCAAATTCAGCAAAAAAAAACAAATCGCTTTCTACCGCAGTCGCTTTGTATTCGAAACAAAAATAATTCATGCATTCTTTGTAGGGTTCCGGCATGCCACAGCCACAATCCAATTCGCCATATCACCAAAATCCCAATCCCGGCGCGCCACTTGGCGTCCCTTTCGGCGCTGGTTGGGTAGCGCCTGCACAACAACACTTCAGCAACTCCTCTCCACACCACATGCCACAACAACAAAATAGTTTACACTATCAGCCATTACCCACACATCAACAACAACAACAACCATATCCCCCTCCTACTAACAACACAATGTCACATTCCCATCATCCCCAACACCAAGCACCATATCCATCGATGGCACCGATGGGTTCGCCACACAGCGCACCCTATCCGGGCTCTTCGTACCCACACAATCCGCAACATGCACAAGCTCCTTATCCATCTGCATCGGGTACGCCCACACATGCACCCTATCCCGCACACACAGCCCATTACACGCATCCGGCTACGCATCCTTCTTATGCGCCAACACATGGATATACGCCCGTACCGACATCCGGCGGTTATGAATCGCCAGCCGGCAATATAGCGCACTGTTTCCAAGAGTTAGCCCACCGGCAGGGTCATTCTTCGCTGCATCAGCATCAACCGTTTGCCCGAAGAGAGGTTTGTGTTAATGAAAGCTCATGCATGTTTACCATATACATACATACATACATTAGACTGATTCAAAAAAAAAAATCTCTTCAACACCTCCGGGGAGTTGTCAAAAGCTGACTGTTGAAAGCGCAACCCTTAATATTAAGTTGAAAAGGTCGCGCATCGCGGATTTCTATTTTCCTTACAAATTATTTTGAAAAATATTGTTTTCATCTGTGGAATTTATTTTCTCGTCTTTGAATTATCGTACTGACAAGTGCGATACATATTAAATATTGTAGGAAATAAGACGCACTACAAAAAAAAGTGTTATATAATTTTTTGTTAAACCTACTGGTTTAACGGTTGTTCAAAATTAATATTAAATTTATGTCAATATTACAGTTTTTTCTCCTATTTCACCGTGCGGCAAAAACAAAAAAATTTCAAAACACACGAAAGAATCGATATAGTCACGAAATTATGGGTCAGATAAGGTAAAACTGCGTTTTCACTTTTTCACTCTGACGTCAGGATTTTTTTTCCAAGAACTATAAAATTTTAAGGATATGATTAATTCAAAAAATCGTTAAAAAAACAGTGCAATGTAGAAGAACAATATGGGTACCAAATGAGTGAGAAAATTCTGTAGAATTTAAAACCAATAAAATTTTTTGGTTTAAAAGGACAAATAGGTATTGAAAATTCACCTTTAATAATTTTTATGTTTTTAAGTTAATAAAGTTTGCAGGACGAAATTCGAAATGATGTCGAGCTTATATTAGTCCTCAAATTATAATTTTTTCATAAAAATATTGCAAATTTTCAAAGATATTTAAAGACAAAATTTGTAAAGGACATTTTCCATGCCCATTCGTCCCTATGCACCAAAAAATGTACTCTGTTATAATTCTACGGAATTTTTTTTTTATATGACACCCTTATTGTAATCCTACGTTGCGCTGAATTTTTTAAATAAAATTTTGAAGTAATCATATCTTTTTAATTTTAAAGTTCTTTTAAAAAAATCCTGACGTCAGAGAGAAAAAGTAAATATGCAGTTTTACTTAATTTACCCATAGTTTTGCGAATATATATATTTTTTTGTGTATAAAATTTACTGTCACATGGTGTTGTAGGTAAAATAATTAAAGTTACTTTCAACTATCCAAAAAAACTTTTAAAAATTTTAATTGTAAAGTTTAATAGGGCTTGCAAAGTTAATTTTAAGAACTCACCAATTCGGTGGAAAATTAATTAAAAGTCATTTCTATTGTATTGGTTTGTTCGTTGTAAAACTATTTTATGAAAGTTTGTTATATCAATTATTCACTACACGTTATTTTAATCACTTTTTCAAACTGGGAATTACAATTTAAAAGATTTTTGTTAAAAAATTTGCATATTTAATAATATTTTAAATTATTAATTATATTATTAATATTGACATACATTTATATTTAAGTTTGAATAATTTATCGGTCTATCAAAAAATGATATGACACGTTTTTTGTAGAAGGTCTGATTTCCTACAAAAATATGTATCGCAATTTTCAGTACGATAGTTTGAAGATGAGAAAATAAACTCCGCGAAGCGCGAAGCGCGCCCTTTTAAACTTAATATTAAGGATTGCGCTTCTAACATCCATGTTTTGACATCTCCTTGATGGTATTGAAGAGGGGATTTAAAAAAAGTCGATTTTTTTAAATCAGTGTCTATACATACACACAATGAAAATTAAATATTATGCATACAATGTACTGTATTGTACAATCAATTGCAACCAAATTCAAGATGATATTGTTTGCCACTCATGTTCATTTATGTATTTATTTTTTACAATTTTTAGTTAGAGTACAATTCATTATCTCACAAAACCTATGTTTAGGATTTTGCAGAGAACTGAAAAAAAAATTAAATAAATTTCATCCAAATTTTAAACTTTTTTCCTTTACCGAAAGTGTTGTGGTTTTCTTCCATATAAAAATTAATTGTGTTTATTCGTTATATGGAAGCAAATGCAACAAACAAATTAGGAAAAGTTTAACCTCAAAAAAGTTGCCAATGGAATATCAGTCTAAAAAAGTGCTACTAACTATAGAGTCGACTTTATTTCGACCAAGGTGAATTTAATAGCGTGGTGTTAGCCGTATATAGGTAAAAAATTATGCTAACAAATTACAACAAATACATCATTTTCACGTTATGCTTTCCACTGCGAAAAGGCAGCTGTCGCTCCAACACCACCTTATTAAACTCGACTTGATTTCGACTATGAATATTCCCCAATCGATACTTGTATTCTGTACTCCAAATTAAATACTGATTTTTATTTCTGTTTGTTTTTTTTTTTCTTCAGGGCACCCCAACTGTATTACCAGCACAAAACTTTGATCCAGTCAAGGATGCACATGATTTACGCAAGGCAATGAAAGGTTTTGGCACCGATGAAGATGCCTTGATAAACATAATTTGTCGTCGTTCCAACGAGCAGCGTCAGGTAATTATAAAACTTAAATAATAAAAACTGCAATGGAAGTTCTACGAAATTTATAACTTCTGATGTGGAAACGGGACCATTATAAAAGGACTTGGCAGTATTGCCAGGTTACTGCAGTAATTTACCCCCAATGCCAATTTCCTTTAGTACCCCTAAAGTTATTTATTTCGAATTTATTGTAATTTTATTTTTTCAATGTCAATTGTAGATAGTCTATTTTTATTTAGTACATATTTCTGAGGGATTACATTTTTAATTTCACTTAAACTTTTAACTAAGTAACCCTAGTTGTGATTTGTCATTTGGCACCAAAACATAATACATAGGAGTATTCCCTGAGGCTTGCAAAGCCCTGGCACCGTGAACAGATTGCATGGTAAAAACCGGTTTTCGTATGGGGCAGCTTTGCAAACCGTGCACCGTGCAAGGGCTTTGCAAGACTCAGATAATACCCCTAATGACATATTTTCATATAAATGCATAGGTTTGCGTTTGCGTTGGTAGCTGAATTTGAAGATATGGTTTTATGTACATATATAAAACTGTTTACATAGATAACGAATTACCCCCAAAAATCCCTTTTTAATTACCCCTAGATGCATTTTCTTCCTTCTAGAGCTCTCCCCTAAATATTTGATCCCCCTAAATTTTCCCCTAGGACAGTCAAAAGTCTCTAATCTGGCAACACTGGGCTTTGGGCTTACTGTTCTGTTTTTTTTTTTTACTGAACCAAATTTTGGTTGTGTGTGTGTTGATTGAGTAAAAAAATAACAGTAGTTCTTCAGAAAAAACTTGTGCATAGCAATATCTTTTCCACAATCAAAAACTTTTTGGATTAAGCGCAAGAATAGCAGAATCCATTATTCATTTCCATGATGGCTAATATTTTTTATAAGGGTGGCAACGGTAAGCAAACCAAAAAAGTTTTCATCTCATTTAGGTTTGCGCCTTTGCTAGCGAAGCTTATTAAAGCACTAAAAGCTTTTACAATAACAATGACGGCAGCGTTGCCAATAAATGAAATGAAAAGTTGATAATTTTTGTATTTCCCTATCGAATTTGGTAAATTGGTAATTTATTTTTCAGTTTGATAACTTTTTTTTCAACACGGAGTTTCGTATTTGCTAAGTTTTTGACTCTCACTTAGTATTTGAAGAATCGATATTTCAAGCTTTCTTAGATTACAGGAGATCCCTCCCAATAGGTTAGTATATGTAGGCTGTCATACTATTCAATTACCGATCCCTTTATACTTTACCCACTTACTTACTTGACGAAAGGCTGTTTCAGCGTTCATTGGCTAAAAGACTAGTGTGACATCTAAACTTGGCCAATATACTCACGGTCAGCTTTTCAAGTTTTTTAGCAGTTAACTAAATATGTATTTCGGACTACAGACAGAGATATGATGAAAGATCTATGTACGTCACTCAGTAAGGTACATAGCATCGTCTATCTGACTCAAAAGCTTTCAAATCTGCTAGAGATTATCAGACTTTCTTATTAATGCACAAAAATTAAAATGCACTAGTGTGTGTACACTAGGGTGGCCAACAAATGTGGAAAAGTAAAGAACTTTTATTTTAAAATCTAAAATTATTTAGAGGTCGCTCCAAGCGCCAGGTACATATTTTATATAGAAAAAAAAACAATTTTTCGTATAAATGGTATAGAGTTCTTGAAAATCAATATTCTTCGACTGGAAAACTCGGCTTCTCTTCAGGAGACTTCAAATAATATTACGAGAAAGTTTATTTTACCCCCAGCGACTTTTTAAAGGCACGAAAATATTATTCCCCATATCGAACACATGGAAAACTTTGAGCGACCTCTAAATATTTTTTTGATTCAAATAAAAAAAAAAAAAACGGCTACAATTGTGTTCGGTGTAGCACAATCCTATGAGGTGACAGTAATATAACTTGTTGCATGTCATATACATATTGGTTTAATCCAGCTATTTAAAAAAAAAAAATATTTTTTCTTGCATTTTCTCTTCCAGGAGATTCAACGTCAATACAAAACACACTTTGGCAAGGATCTCATCGAAGATGTTAAATCTGAAACCAGTGGAAATTTCGAAAAATTGCTTGTCGGACTCCTACGTCCAATTGTTGACTTTTATTGCGCCGAAATGAACGATGCGATGGCAGGAATCGGCACAGATGAAGAAGTGCTCATCGAAATACTATGCACATTGTCGAATGTAGAAATACACACTATTAAGAATCAGTACTTGCGCTGTAAGTTTCAATAAAGGAACTAGCTCCACATTTTTTAAATGCGTTTTATTTGTATGCATGCATGGCTTCTTACTAATCATCTACAACATTTCGTATTTTCAGTGTATGGCGCCCACTTGGAATCCGAATTGAAATCGGAGACTTCTGGCAACTTTAAGCGTCTCTTAGTCTCACTATGCACAGCAGCACGGGATGAGAGCGGCCAAATTGATCCAGTGGCAGCGCAGGGCGATGCACGTGAGCTGCTCAAGGCAGGCGAATTGCGTGTAGGCACAGACGAAAGCATGTTCAATATGATATTGTGCCAACGTAACTATCAACAGCTGAAACTGGTGAGTGGAAATATAAAATTTTTTTTTGTGTACAATTTCCTTTAATTTCTTTTATTCATACAATTTTCTTTCACGCAGATATTCCAAGAATACGAAAAAATGACCGGTCACACACTGGAAAAAGCCATACGCAAAGAATTCTCTGGTGACATAATGGAGGGACTGGTTGCCATATACAAGTGTGTCACCAACAAGACGGAGTACTTTGCTTCGCGTCTGCACAAGAGCATGGCGGGCATTGGTACGAATGATAAACAATTGATACGCGTCGTGATCACGCGCTCGGAGGTGAGTGAAACATACGAAATAAATAAATAGAATAATTTTTTTTTTTTTATATTCAATACCTTTAATTTTAATTGCAGATTGATATGGCTGATATTAAGGCACAATACGAGCGCATGTACGGAAAGAGTCTGAAGAGCTGGATTAAGGTAATGCAGTCATTTGATTTATACTAAGCTCTTTATCTAAGCAAATCATTATTTTTTTTTATTTTTTCTTTTACAGGGCGACACATCTGGCCATTATAAGCACGCTTTATATGCACTCGTTGGCGAACAACGCTCTTCCTAAATTTTACATTCAGCGCTTAATATTTATGTACACAAAAATTATTATAAACATATTTGTATAATGTTGAAGGTTTGAGAAAAATTTCGCTTGATGTCAACAAAATGTCCTTTAATTGTATGAATGTTCGAATATATTTACATACATACCTACATAAGTATGTAATGCAATTTCGAATTTGTGCCTAGTTCAAACCAGTAAATTCTTCGATATTACTATTATTCCTATTTTCGCAAGTGTGCACCAAATTTTTTAGGTGTGCTTTCATATTCTCAACACTTCATAAAAACATAAACAATTAAATATAAATATATATATTAGATACTTTGTTATCTTACATTGAATATACTATGTTATATGGACAACGGTTGCAAATCTCAATCAGTCTGGAAAGCTGACTGTTTTTTTTTATATTAAACTCATATATATTTCGTGCACTTACTATTGACAATGCCAACTTGCATTTAATTGTGGAAAAATTACCTTTGTTTAAGGACTACACAACATTTTATTGATGTGCAAATATTGAATGTCATTTGAAACTAATGTGTCTTGCATACGAACTTACTACTTTATTGAAATCAAATACGCATACACATTTTTGGATGTTTTAAAAAATAAATAAATTCAATTAAATATAAATACGCACCAAAATAATTTTGTGTTTTTTCAATTATTATTTTTTTGTTCGAAAGTAGCCGGGTGGTTAGAGGTCTGCACTACCAATCGGTAGGACCCAGGTTAAATTCCTTGTGCGGCCGATAGTCTTTCACAACGACCATAGCGGTTATAAATTATGTATAGCCGGTATTTTTTAGCATTATTTTTTGTTCGCAGAATAGTCGTTTTTTCTTGCTTGAAAAATAGTCGTCATAGTTGTTATTTTTTTGCTCAGAAAATAGGAGTTACTAAATGCACTAACGAAATCGTGTAATTTTAAATTTTGACAGGATGATCAGTTAAAAAATGTTTGGTGCAACCGGGCATAAATCTGGCGAGAGCGGCGAAACATTGACAGATAGCATGTTTCGGCGTTTATTCGTCCGACTTTCAGAAGTGGCAGACGCTCATGTCTGAAAGATTAATCTCACTGAGGTGATAGCGAGGGAAGCAGTGTTCTGAAAAATAACCAATGAGAGTTCGGAGGTCTTCCCTGCCTAAGTTAGGGATTTTTTTGTAGCCTCTTTAGATGGTTAGTTAAGCCGTATAGCTTACCTGGGACGAACAAATTCAATCCAGTGGTTGTTAAATTTTTGTTTGTCTGTTTTGTTTTTGTTTTCGCTCGGAAAATTTAGTTTCTTCTCAGGAGACTTTTAAAAGTAATACCCAATATAACCATTTTTTAATATTAACGATTTTTTATTGGTGTCCCATTGCATTTTTCGGGGTTTTTTGCGGACCTATAAATTATAGTTACTATCAAGGCGTATCAGTACAAGGTGGTGTTGATTGAACAGCTGGTAGGATATTTTTGTCTCTTCACTAGTACAGGAGAATGTCATCCAAGACGAAATGGCGCCACTATAGGATGTCAACAAAACCAAATGACGAAAATTATCTCCTATTTCCTTTCGTTTTGTAATCCAGATGTACCAAAAAGCAATAACAAAATACACAGGACTTTTACTTATATACAATTGCCACCACCTTGTATGGATGCGCCTTGGTTACTATGAAAAAATGGTTAATTGTAATTTGTGGTTTTATTGAACAAGTTCCAAGACAGTTTTTTTCTAAATTTTATTATCGCAGGAAAAAATGCCGCGTAGTCTTAAAAACTATTCACACAGTGGTTATTTATGTAAAAAGAATATGCCAAATGATATTAACTTCAATTGAAAACTTTAAATTCCTAATATGTCTAAACAGCCTTTTGTTTTGTTATCTTTATTGAGTTCTCCCATCCAAATGGTAAATAATTCACTTCCTGCAGAATCAAGATCACTTACAAGGAAGCCATTTTCTCCGAAAACGCAAAAAATCGCAACAAGAAATCGACATATTAAACCCAGAACTCTTCGTTTTACAGTGTTGGCAAATGAAATTCTTCCTTCTGTACGAAATATGTATACATATACAAAAACTGTACTTTTTGACTGTAAATTGTATCGACTTTTTAATTTGCTCATATGTTTTCTTAGTACATGCACATGTACATTCCCTTCAAAACCAATCCCAGCACGGAAAGAAACTTGTTTAAATATTGATGTTCAACCAGTTTTTAAATTACCAAACTAATTGAAGATCTGATTTTCTTCCTTGGAACGAACTGTTTACTTTAACATAGCGATGTCCTAGAAAGCAGTCAATTATCCGACTTTGCATTTGATTTCAACTACTTTAAAATGCATTTAGCTTAAATCACTTCAAAGTCAGTATTTTTCGTTTGAATGCGCTTTCGTTCTGCACATCGCAGATGTATTTTCATATTTCCAAGACACAAAAAAAAATTATTAAAATTTTTTCAAGGAACAGATTTTTATAAAAACAAATTTAAAAAATTTACAAAATCGTATTTTTTATTTTCCCCCGTTAAAGCTTGCATTTTCTTTATTTTTTTATTAAAAAAAAATATATCGAACGAATAATTAATTTATCAAAAACTGCCAGGCCTATCGAAGAGAAATGTTGACTAGCTTTCATTTGCGGTATTTTGTATTACGATTGTTTAACTAGTTCGTAAAATATGCGTGATTAAGTAGAGACACTCTTTTTTAGCTAATTAACGGCAAATTGCAAATATCTCGGAAGGTTATTTAAAAATTAACTTGATTTACAGAATCAACGAATACCTTGAAATTTGATAGTAGCATCCGGTGAACAAGAAAAAACTAAAATTTGCGATCCATTGTTATCGAAAATATTGCTTCTATTGAAGCTGATTTCGACATTTTGTTTTAAGATTTAGTATAGAAAATATTCTTTAAAATATTTCTTAGGAATTGGAAGCTGGTAGTAGCCCTTGTGTTATGTTATTATATTTCATTCGAGACATTTTTAAAACTTTTTAAAACTTACAAATGCAAATTTGAAAAGGTCAAAACCAAAAGAAAATAAAAAAAATTCCCCCCTGTCAATTTTCAGATTTATATGCCTTTAGTATTCATCACAAAATTGTACCAAGAAGTTTTGCGTACTAGTAAAGTACTATATTGTGAACGAAATTGTATCAAAAAATGCAATTGTACCAAAAATGCAACACTGTTTAGTAAGTTTTGAAATTTTTACACATGTACACATATCGATAGCTGTGTGGAAGATTGACCTATCTCAGCAGCGGGTTCGAAAATACCCTACCTGAAAAAATTTTTCAAGAACATTCTACTTCACAATTTGGTTGAAGAACGCCCTATTTCAGAATTTGACTGAAAATCGCCCTATCTCAGAATTTGGTTACAGAACGAGATAGGTACGAGATTGGTTCCTGATTCCAGTCTATGAATTTTTTGCTTTATTACTTTTTTGAAACTGTGTGTTATAAATTCGTAAAGAACAAAATTTTTTTTTGTAATTTTCCTTTAATTCTTCAAAAACTTAGCGTTACAAATTTACTTAAGGTACCCTAAACTATTTTTAATTGTGGCACAGAAATGTTAATTTTTTTAACTTCTATACAATACTAACTTATGTACTAACTACCCTGAGCAATTATGAAGATTTTCTTAGTTTAAAAGCTTTTCAAAATACCTATGCAAACCTACACTTTAAATACTAGTTTGCCACACATAGTACTTCTTACCAAACCCACTTGTGGTCTAACATCATTTTAGCACTCGCACCTCCACAAACAAGCAATCGTTACGCAAATAATTGCGGCTCATTACGACTTTGTGTGGTATGTGGAAATATTGATTGTTTTGTATGAACTCATCGTTCTTTTTGCGTACCAATATCGTTTTCACATAGTCCTGTGCCTCCTCGTTGCTGCTGTACTGATCACGTATGATAATGTCGGCTTGCAGGCGGCAAGGCCAAGGTAGCAGCGCATCATACTCGCCAGCTATGACATTGAGACATGCAATCAAATTGCGGCCCTTCCAAGTGCCCTTTCCATTGGGGAGTATATCAAGCTGTATGTGAGAGATAAAAGCGATTGATTAGTAGACCTACACACACACACACACACACGCGTGCGGAGGGGGGTGTTACATTGGAGGGCGTCAACTTACGCGCAATGCATAGCCATATGGCTTATTCGAGAACATGACGCTATGCAGTATTGTTTCATATTGCTTTGCTTCCTCCAGCTTCTTTGAGTAGTCTTTGATGCGCCAGACCAAGTGACCTATGCGAGAGGGAGTGAATTGGTTTTGGAATTTTTGTGGTTTTGAGAGCAGTTTAACTTCTATTACCTCTCGAGTTTTGTATGTTAGTGAGTCGTTGTTGTGTCGCTAAATGATTCTCCAAATCCGCTAGCGTTTGCATGGTTTGATGCAGCTTGGTGTCAATTTGTTTCACTATGCCCTCCAATTTTTCGCAACGCTCCTCCGTTTCGCAAACAATGTTTTTCATGCTCTTCACTTCCACATCCATATTCACCTGTTTGGCATTCAAGTCGCTGTTGGCGACAAATTTGGTCTTCAAATCGCCGTCGAGCACATTTAAAAATTCTTCGATTTCGATGAATTTATCGCTGTAATTAGTGAGTTAGATTAGTGAAATTTTGCTTTGTTTGCTACGACTTGCGAATTTCATTACAGATTCTTCTTCTCATTTTCCAAAATCATCTCTTCCAACTTCATGGTGTTGTCATTCAGGTGATTCACATGGTCTGCCACTTCGATAGATAATTGTTGGATATTCTTTTGCAGCACATCCATTTCGCCTTGTATATCGGCTTTGACTTTCTAAAGAGGCATTAATTTGAAAAATTTATTAAACCTTGCAACTATTTATCACTGTCACCGCTTACCTTTATCATTTCGAAGTTCGCTATGTTGTCCTTGTATGCCTCACCCACTTCAAATTGTCGTTGCACAATCTCTTCGTTGAGCAGCGATTTGATGCCATTCATATTTTCACTGGCGTCCTGTTTCCAATCTTCCAAAACCTGATTGTATTTGCGCAAATTTCCCACATCTGTAATCAAATGCAATCGCTGGCCAATCTCCTCGTTTAGCACCGAACGCAAAGCGCTCAAATCCTTTTCGAGTTGCGTCATCCGATTATCGACGAATTGATCGAGCCGTTCTTGACTATTGTTGAGCTGTTGTTGTGACTTGCCGCGCGGACACTCTTTCAGATGTGTGCGCATGCGTATGCGTGGCACGAAAGCGTTACAATGGTTCGGACACTGTTCGAGTACTTGGCCGCAATGGATGAGATGTTCCTGGTGTAGAAAAAGAGAAACGTAAGTGATAATGAGTATATGAGTATAGGTAGGTAATTTTCGGCATACAATTAGTCAGTGACTACAAAAAGCGCAATTTTATTCGAATGGTACTTTAACTTGCAGTATCCTGTCAAGTAGCCTTGTAATATCTTAAACCCTCCCCGAGAAGTCAGGAAGGAGTATTCATAGCTACTTTGATTGTCTCAGTCCCTTTTTGACTTCCGCCAATGGGCAGAAATCTGAGATTCTTTCCAGCTCCTGAGTAGGTCTTTAGTGTGTCTTTTATATATACCGAAGAAAGGCTTCGGACGATACACGCGCATTTGGGCTCCACATTTTGCAAGACTAACAGCCCTTTCGTTGCCTTCAAACTAGGGCTGGGTAACTCACTGAATTTTCGTGAGTTGACTCAACGAAGCAAGCTCATTTTCATGAGTCAGCTCAGTGAGCTGGCACTATTTGACACTAAGGGAGAGTTGTTCCCATTGCTTGCAAGGCGAAGGGAATAAATCTAAGCTTTAACTTTAATATGTTTTAAATAAATAGGCATTGATTTTAAACCAAAACAAATTTGTTTACATAATATATTTCATATACAAGTAACCATAACAGCAAAATTCAAAACAGAAGTCGAGTTGCTGCAGGGAGAAAAGTTGTAGTTCCTTTAAAAGTTTTAAGTTATACTTTTTTCATAGTTAAACGAGTAAATATTTTTTAATAGCATCATGGTTCTGTTAGCTCTGAAAAAAAGAGGCAAAAGTGGCACATAATTTTAGAAAAGGGTAAAGAAATCAAAATTTTCAAAAAGTCCGGTCAAAGGGGTTTCAAGTAGGAATCGAAATACTCAGCTTGAGAGGGACATAGCTGTGTTTTTAATTGACGTCAGTTACGAGGAAAAGAGACAACTGCCGTGCTATCTTAAGATACAATCCCATTATGAAGTTTTAAACAATAGCCCAAGGAGCTACAAGTTCTTGCAAGGAAATTGAAATGACAATTTTCAAAATTTGTTTGCTACTAGTATTAATTCTATTGATTTCGATAGTAAATATAACCTTCGTTAATTTAAAGTTCTTGTATGCATCGTGGAAATTATTAACCTTCAAAAATAAAAATAATACCCGTAAAAAATGTTTTTTTTTTTTTTTTTTTGAGAAGAGACCATGAAAAATTATATGTGTGTCAAGAATGAGCATACACTACAGGCGCATACATATGGTTACCTTAATGTAGAAATGCCCTATCTAAAATGTTTGTCCTTACAGAGTACTTACAAAACTTGAGAAAATCCAAAGCCCTTAAGTTGGGAATTTCTTCAAAATCCAACGCTTAATAAACACTGAAAAAATTTATTGATGTAGTAATTTTTTTGTTTGATTCTATTAGCGTTATTTGCCGAACCTTGTAGGTACTAAGCTGAATTTCGAAAGAAAATGAGTTAGGGCCTTTCTATATTAAGGTAACGATAAGCGCATATACTGCCAAAATAAAAGTACACAAACCATGCTCGGCATATCATTTAACTAAATTGGAAAAAGTGATAAGAATTTCAAAGCGCATTCCATGCTTATCACTTTTTATTGCTGTCAAATTTTTTATCTATGGAGGTTAAGTTTAGTGAAGCATTCACGAGCACTCCATCCACATATTAATGGCAATTTTTTAAATGCTTTTTGAGTTATGCGCGCAGCCGATGAAACAAAATTATAACGAGAATCACAATGTACTGGGCACTTTGATGGATAAATAATATTTAGTAGGGGTATTCATACCGCTCGTGTTACTTCAGTATTTAGCAACTTAATATATATTTTGTCCCCATTGCTTTTTATATGATTTATAAGTGACTTCGTTCTTGATTTTCTTTTGCTAATTTTCTTTAAAAAATTCGAGCCGGGTAATTTGTATTGTCGTGGTGGTGTTTGAAATCACACCTCTTCGAAAATCTTCTAATTTATTAAAAAAATCGGTATAGCGTCTCAGAGTGTAGTTTGCAGTCGGCTAATGAAGTTGAGAATACCAGCGTTATCTCTGAACTATACTTTCATTTAACAGCAACATTTAGGGACAAAACGTTACTAGTACAAGTACATACTCGATACTTTTCGTCCGATAGCAAGTAATTTTGGTATCGATACTTTTGAACCGAGTACTGAGTAGGTATCGGAAGAAAGTAACGGAACCTTCTGCAAAGTTCTTGAAGGAACGGTTTTGAAAAGTTTTTTTTTTCCTCCCCTGTAAATTTTCTACAAATGGACTTAGCAACTGTTCGCTTTAAAAATTATCAACATAATTACTTCTGCTGTCGAACAGTGTTATAATACAGATGACTTTTATTAATTAAATAATTTGTATGAAATAAATTATAAAATAATTGTTTTTGATCTCAATCGCTTTCCCTTTGTACAAAATAAATATTTATTTATAACAAATAAAACACGTACATAAAAAAGAAGCAAATTGTGTTAACAAAATTCTGGGGATTTTTAAAAAACGATTTATTGGACTGTGCACTTTTTTCAGGTTTTTTGGGACGCCATCCTATTAAAACATGATTTAGAACTTCAATTTTTCTTAAAAAGATTAAGTACCATTCGTCTAAATCAAAAATAATAGCCAAATTAGTTATTTTGACATAAATTCATAGATGTGATAGAGTTTTTTTATACAAACAATTCTTAGATAGGTACAAATATCGATATAAGCAGGTATCGATATTTTCCTCCGATGCTACTTCCAAGTTCAGGTATCGATACTTTCATGGTATCGTTTTATCCCTAGCCACATTCATTTTATCATTTCAAAATCATACGCTATGCTTGGCTTTGTACGGCGGAATAGAACTGAATTTTCCGACCCATACACCTTACAATTGCCCTTTCGTACACTCTCATTTGGTGTAGGCAGCAATAATCTGGAATTCTTTCCACCAGGTGCCAATTGATAGAATTGAACGCTTTCAGAAAGGGTTCCTTTAATTCGCCTTGTGTTCTCTACGCTTCTCAATTTGAAATCATTAGATAAAATAAGCTGTATAGATATTGTCTGTCCAAGGAGTATGGGACTGTTCCTAGCTTTTGGATAGAATCAATTTTAATGTATCGCGCAGCTTTTCTATATATACTGAAAATGTTACATCGAATTATGCCCGTAACTCACCAATTGGCCAGGCGATTGGTGAATTTAACCAGATCTTAACTATTATTTTTGAACCTAAATATGTATGTAAATATAAGGTAAGTGCGAAAGTGAAAAGTACGAACGCATTAAGGCGGCAAGCCAGGAAAATTTATTGGCATTTGGCAAATAGCAACCATCAATTTTGTTCTGTACAATGTCCTATGGGTTTTCCGACTATAAAAAATTAAAAAAGTAGTAGAAAATAGACAAATTAACACCGTTAATAATAATCTAATATCTAATAATCTGTTGCTATGAAATACTGTTTTCCAGTCTAACAAAAAAAGTTAAAAGGGTCGTTCACAGCAAAACACTTTTCTCGAACTGCCAAATTACCGAGGTTTGGCTGAATACCCCTATTGTGTTTAACTATTTCTCCGACATTTTTCAAATGATAAATAGTTCCTGAGTATAGGTACTTATATGAGTACTTTTTTGGTAACTATTTTGAAATGGGTAAAGCCCCAAGGAATGCAAATATCACAGATATCGTTGTGAATGTTTAACACAATTATGCACAATTAAATTAGTTTTCGAATGTTCTTACAATTAATGAACTACATATGTATGTACATATGTATAGGTAGTATACTTACGCTGCTATTCGTTTGTTATTTTAACAAATAACATAAATATTTAATTATACAACACCTGTATTTTTTACAATTTAATTACTTGCAATGTTTTCTAAACTTAAAATCGGCGCAGAAAACTGCGAACTTACTTATAACCGTTCCATTTCTCAACATGTACTAAAATGTGTAATACTTACTAATTAAAAAAAAAACGCCGTTAGACACTCAATTATGACTAAAAAGCTACAGAAATGAGCCGCAAATAGTCGCTATGATAAATATCGGTAATGACTAGGAACGACCTGTTGAGGTGATTGCTAATTGATAAGCAGAAAATTCATTGATAATCGAAATCTAACTTGTGTAGATAATTAAATGGTTATGAATGAGCTATATGTAGTAATTACATATGTTAAAAAAATAACATAAATTTAGTGTAAATAAATACATTAAATTATACGTATGAAAGTGAATAAAAATTTGTTAATCTTTTATAATATAAAACTATTGGCTATACTAGCTGGATTTTTTTTTCTGCTAGGATTTTTCTTTAATAAAACTAAAATGACTCAAGCATATAGCTGCATAAAGATATGTTTTCGTTAGTTTATAACCGACTTCAAAAAAATGAGGAGGTTATCTATTCGTCGGAGCATTTTTTTTTTTATGTATGTTACCGCATAACTTTGGACTACATTAAGCGATTTCTATAATTCTTTAATAATTTTTTTAAGGAAAGGCTGTACTTCAGAGGTGGAACCAATTTGGTTTAGATCCGAACCTTGGCTCATGAGGAAATTAACGATATTCCTAAATTTTTATATGAGAATTGAAGTCGCGTTTTATTGCTTGCTTTAAAATTTATTGTTTATAATTATGTACAAATGGAGTTCATTTTTTACTTTATGCAATTTGTGCTGGTTTGAAGTTACATATGTACTACAAAAT